TAGAAAAGAGGATCTGCAGTACCACTGCAGTTTACATCAGCGTATGTCTTGTACCACTGAGGCTTCTACAGCCAAAAGGCATCATCGTGGTACAACTCTCCCTCAAGTAGATACTTATACTGTTCACCAATAACAGCTGTTACAGGTAAATATGAAGACAGTTTTCCTGTTTTGTTTTTCTGTATTATTACCAGTTTTTCTGTATTATTACAAAGCAAGAAACACAACTGAAAAGGTTATTTTATTTGTTTGTTTTAATTTATTTCTCACACAAGCAACAGGCTTCTGGAAAGAATCTGCTCTGCCAGATATATACAAGCTCAAAGAGATAGGAAGAATAAAGAAAAGCTTTCTTTTTAAAACAGGAAAAACAATCTGTAAGCTCCTTCCACCCTAAAAGAAAACCAAACCAAACCAAGAACTGTGCAGACTTCCATAACTAATGCAGTATGAAAAGCAACATGTATTGAATATTTTTAAAGGACAGCATTCCTCTGAAAAGGTGTAACTAATTCATTTGACAGTCCAGCTGAGACATGTTTACATCCCTATCTACTTCTAAATTCTGTGCTAAATGAAACAGGGTGGGTTTTTTGCAGGAGTAGACATGCACTTGGAATACTCAAATAATGAAAAATGTAAATAAATGAGCAATTTACTTTATGTTTACAGTAAAAAATGTTATATATACTCAATAACGTATTCAGCATGTTACTTAGTTCACTGCATCTGAATTTGCATATTCTCAGAATACTTTTTAATGCTTCAGTCCAGCAATTAGCATACTGAGTCTTGTTAAACATAACAAAGATGTCTTTTCAGTTCGTACAGTCAAAAGAAATATATACCTGCAAAATATTTTTTTAAACACTAATAATTTAAGAAACATTAAGTGCCAGAGAAATTGTTACCATCTTAATACACTAGACACAACAGAAACCATTAAAAAAATACCTACAACAGCACAAACCAATTTGATTTGCAGACATTTTACACATATTTCACTGGAAGGGAAGATCCCTATAAGGGTAATTGAAGCCCCATAAAGATAAGTTTGGTGGTTTTTCTAATTATCCTTTACAGATCACCTTGAAAATCTCTCCCCAGAAAACTCAAGATGGACCAGATGCTAAAAGCTGGTGTCTTTGTGGTACTACAAAAAATTATTCAGCTGGGCACTACTAGTCATTCTAGGTAAAATACTGGCCCTGCTGAAGTGACAGATATTTATCATTTAATACTTCATTTATTACAGAAATAATAAGTCATAAAAGGAATGTGCTCAATTCCTTTTCAACAGTTTCCCAGTGCAACCATAGAAAGTCAAGTTAGGTCAAAATCAAAGACTTCAAAATTTCACTCTTTAATTTCGACAAAGAACTGCATTTGCACGTGAAGGGGAAGCAAAGGTGTTTTAGATCACCAGACCTCTGCTTCTTGACTGCTAATTTACACATTGTGGTACAACGTGGTACATCTTCCTGCCCTGTAACCTTTCTGCCACACAAAACCCCACCAAATGCCAGCTTCTGTTTGTTCTTCAGAATATGTCCGTTTGTTCTTCCAGAATAAATGAAATGCTCAAAAGCCAGACTGAACCATGTGCCTCTGCAGTCATTCACATCTGCTCCATCCACTACCTACCCTCACAGAGATGCTTCTTATCCCATGGACAGAGATGCAAAGTATTCCACCTCCTACATGTCAAACACACAGTAGCTGCACAATTGCTGCATAAGACACATCTCCCCTTCTTTCTGCATCAAAGTTTCTTCTGCCTTTGATTTGTGCACATTTAAGTTTTCATTTTTTCAGAATGCTGACCCTTATGTAAATGAAATCCAGGACAGTAAATGCAATACCAAAGTTAAAAGAAAGATCTATCAAAAAGTGCAGTATTTTCACCTCTTGCCACAGAATAAAGGGAATATGCATATTTTAACTCCTGTTATTCTTCTTAGTAATTACAAAAAAAAGAAATGAGGTTGTTGAAAACTCCAAAAACCAACCCTGAAGCAATCGTAAAAACACAATCGTGGCTCACACTACAGCGCTTTTAATTCTCAATTATTGTTCAACATGATGAGTCATTCAAATCCACCACTATAATATCTGTCTAATTCAGTTCTGGGGAGTCTTCATTCTTGTTTATTCTGATATGCTACAGGCATGTTATTACAGTCAAAAAGAAGGTTTCAGTGAATCTCTTCAGCAATCACAAAAACATTGCAAAAATACATCACTAGCATTCACCTTCTTGACCCACTTAAAAAGTGTCACGTTCTTGCCAAAAGCACAGTGATGCCACATTACCTCTTCCAGATTTTCACCCTAAAACTGAAATACAATATATGTACAATAAATAAAACCCAAGCTCTGCCCACAGCTCGCTGATAGAAAGCATTTAGCTTCTGTATTTTCACTCTTCCGCTCTGTTCATTTCAGCATTTTATACTTCATAATCAAATGCATACCGATACTGAAGCAGCACTGTATGACTGAAAAGCAATAAACTTGACTTGCCACCCTAGCTTTATCCCAGAGAAAAATATGTAAAGGTATAAATCACTTCTGGGAACAACACAATACAATATTCTTCTAGAACTGTTCAGTGAATCAAACAGGCTCTTAAAGTTTTAAGTCAATCACATTCCTCTGGGCACATTCTGTACAACACACATGGCTTTAACCAGAGACATATATCACGGTACGTTTTCAAAATTAGCATTTTCCGTTATGTAGTGTGGTACACGGAAGAGACAAGGTTGTTGTTGACTTGCTTTTTAACACTAGAATGGGAAAACAAAACATTTACTACTTCTCATGCAAATATGAGCAATAAATGGTGCTGTTCAGTATTTTCTTCCAAGAATCTTTCAGCAGACAGATTTAGAAGGAAAGATGTTTTCAAAAGAAAATAATCTTGCTGTCCATTCAACTATATACCTTTAGCAAGTAACAAATCTTGTTTAAAAGGAATAAATTCAGTAAGCCTGGTGAAGGGTGTTGTATAACACATCATCTTGTAAGAATCAACTTCCCCTTAAAATGATGCTCAAAAAAACATGCCAGCAGAAAAATCTGGTAGCAGTCACAGACTCATCATGGAAAGCTAGTTGCACTAGAGCCACTTCTCTCTTCCTTCAGTAGGATCCCATCATTATCAGTTTAGTAGGGCCGTAGAGAGAAATAAATTAGCAGTCTCCCCTCTGGTCATTCACATATTTTCTGCTATTAGGAAGATTACTTATAGAAACCCAACTCTACTAATGACAAGCTTGACCCAGCATATTTTAAGCACCCAAACAACAACAACAACAACAACAAGATTCAAACAGAACATTTTCCTTTCATTCAAGAGTCTCTCTCATGCCAATCACTGTTAGGTGAAAAGATGATACAAACAGCACAGTTCAATCTGCACAGCAAAGATGCAGTGACCCAGAAAGAGAATCTAATGGCCAACTGAGTAAATGAAGCAAAACTCACCAAAACCAAAGGGTAGTGTGCATATGAACACACTTAGCTGCCCACTTAACTGGGAACATACTTAAACCTAGTCTCAAATTTCCACATTCTGCAACAAGACTTCACATTCCCACAAAGAGTACTTCCTTCATTGTTTCCAAAACATATATTATGCAAAAGAAGAAAAACGAGTGCCCAGGTTCACAGAAAAGTTAGAGAACAAAATACAGAGAAACAAAAAGTGATTATCACACATTTAAAAAGTAAAATGAAATATGTAATTGATAGTTATACTGACAACTAGGTATGGTTCAAACCAAAATGCTGGATTCAAACATCATTCTTCCAGAAAACATGACCTGTAAATTTTTGAATGAACCTGATACAAATATACACATGAATCTTTCTTCTGTACATACAAGTCTATATAATTTACCATATACCCACATACCTCCATACACACAAAGCAATTATTTCAAACTAAGTACTTATCAGCTGTTCCCTTCTTCATTAAAAAGAGGATTGTTGTTAATATCACATAAGAACCAAACCCACCCACTCCTGAATCTTTGGTGCAGCTTATGTCAAAAGGGCAACATATAATAAAGAGGCCACCCAAAAAGGAGCACAAACAACAAGAAAAAAACCCCCCACTGTATCCCTCATTTTCATTTCAGTACATACAATGTCATTCTATTCACTAACCTAAGAGAAAAGCTTTTCAAATTCAGATTCCTACCAAAGAGCACATCCAAACACATCTTAACTAAAAAGCAGAAACAAAGTCCTCAAATTTGTCCAAGACACTCAGTATGCCACTGGGCATCACTTGCACTTTCCATGAATCATTATACAGAGGAAGAGATGGGTGCCAAGAAGATGATAAAGCACGGCTGAAATATCAGTTTATACCAACAGATAAACTTTTTTTTTTCCTTTCAGAAAACAATAACGGAAAAGTTTTTATGACACTGTAGTCAGAGCAATGCCTTGCACTCTAAAGTTACAGCATTTTACTGTAGGGTATCTCAGCATTTTTCTGAGAAGTCTCACTTGGCCCTTTTTCTAACAAAATTAAAAGTTTTCCTAGACATGACAGCTATCTCTTGCCACAGGCTGCTGCAGTTTACAGCTTCTGAAAAACCAGCAGACTTCAGTCGAGCTCCTCTCCCACTCCCCTGCCTTTCCATTAGTCTTCCAGGCCATACTTTAGTGCTGCGTAAAAGCAGTCAACTATCACAATTTTTAACTCTCTTAATGTGCATTAATTGAATCTGCCTGGAAACTGGGAGGCACTGGGGAATGAAAAAGCCAAACCAAAACCAGAATCATTTCCAGAGAACTTCTCCACCATCAGTCTCACACGCTTGAACTTACTAGAAAGACTCCAATCACATTTGGATTAGTTTAAAGCCTCCGTCATACCACCCTGTCAAATTTCAACCAGAAATACTAAAAAAAATTAAAAAAAAAAAGAAAAAGAAAAAAGATAGCTATCATTTCCTTTAAAGTGTAACACATGTTTTGCTTACCTCACTGTTGTGGCCCCTCAAATTGAAGTTGATTCTCTGAGGGGTGTTCCGGTCCCTTCTGCAATGGCTGGAAGTAAAAGTGACGCCTACAACTCCTCTGCCATTGCCTGTTGCCAACCAGCCTTCCTCATAGTACCGCCTCCTGCACACCGGTTTCTCCTTCTCACTTTTGGGGACTCTCCCTTTCCAGGAGAGGCAGAGGATGTTGGAATCGCTGCAAAGAACAGGCCCATGTTCCACTGCTGCATACATGCTTTTTAAATATTTTATTTTTTGACATACGAAAGTAATATGTCTAGTGCACAAAATTTAAATCAAATTTTTTTTTTTTTTTTTATTGATAAGACTGACCTGGGATAGATCATTGAAAGGGAGGAGGATGGGGTCAGTGTTTATAAATATCCACCAAATGCATAGTGAAAAATTCCTCTATAAAAGATGATGGCAGTTGGCTAAGAAAAAGTAACACTTAAAAAAAAATTCAGGTTCATTTTTGTTTTCGAGTCTGTAGAGTGAGGGTGCACTTATCCTTTGGAGAAACAGCTACTTCATAAGAGGCGCTCAAGAAATGGTTAAGTCATCTTTTTGCTCAACTTGATATAATCTTTATACAGCCTGAGATTCCAGTTTAGCGTAATGCAATTCCAGAGACAAAGAGTTGCAAATGTGTAGGTTTCAAGTAACTTAAGGCTTTTAGAATTTCCTCCAGTCAGATTTTCTTCAAAAGTTCAGTTGCAGAAATTGAAACACACGCACATACATATATATGTATATATATGACATTCCTCTTTTCCAAGCTGCCCTCTGGCATATCTTTTCCATCTGATGTATTTCTGCTGCTAAAGCTGAAAGAGATTGCATAAAGGGAAAAAAAGGCACACAAACCGTGTGAAACAACAGACCCGAACTTGTGCAGGCACTGGTGTGCCAGGCCAGTTGGGAAATCCCTCTTGATTCTGAACCGCCTGTTGGACTCAAAAGTTTTTGCAATCCAAAGCCAATCCAATTTTCATTGCAGCACTTTTTTTCCACCAGAGACCAACACAGCCTGAACTGTTTATCACGCTATCTTGCCTGCTTTCCCACTTTTTGCTGCCGCACACGAATGAAAAAGAACCCCCTCTTCATTTATAGCAGAATCAAAAATGCTCTAAAGCTTTTAGCGTTCAAAGTAGATAAGTTTGCCTCAGGTGAACCATGAAGTTCTCTCTCCTCTGAAACAGGCTAAAATGTCAAGCTGGTTTTCCTTTACTTTTCCCTTTTTTTCTACTACATGGAATCACAGACGTTTCATTCTACCATAAAAAACAAATGCCAGAACTAAAGCACATCAAGTAAGCACTCTTTCAGAATCTTCTAAAATTCAAGGAAGGAACAAATATAATCATCTAAAAAAGAAAGAGAAGCAGCATTAAAACTCTGACTTCCTGGGTTCACTGTTTCTCTAGGTATTTTCCTTGCTTGTTTGATCGGATCTTTCCTTCTTGATGCTTGTCTACAGCACAGATTCATAGTTCCAGACACAACATTTGCAGCTGTACAAGAAGGAAACATAAGAAGTATTCCAATCGTTTTATTTGAATAACACTTATGAGCTCAATTAATTAGTATTTATATCACACTAAGTGAAAAGAGGAAAAAGGAGAGGGAGAAAGAATATGCAAGTTTGATGACCTTGTTAACTCAAGAAGGGCAGAAAGGTTTGCTCAGTTCAATGCCCAGACTTGTCCCATAGTTCCTCAACTTATTTACTTCCAGTCATCATTACTCAACATAAGGTCATGGTTTATTAGTCCATTCACAAACTACTGAGCCCAGAGAAAAACAAGCCAAAGACCATACATTGCTCCTCTGCTAGAACAAAATCAGTTTCCTCTGCCCACTGTATTCTTCTGTTTCCCTCACAGCTATTGATTTAGATTGTGGAGGTATTTATTACGCTTTTTCTGTGCAGAGGGTGTTTTTTCTTCCTCTTCTTGCAAACTTTTTTCACCCGTGAAGACCATGTGGAAAGCTGAACATTACTGGCAGGTGTCTTTCCATGGATTACTGATTCCTGCGCTGTAAAGGTGCTCCATCTGGTTTTCAAACTAATTTTCATCAATTGCAAAGCTCTCAGGAATATGCCAGAGCAAGTCTATGTGATGACAAAAACATGTGCGTTTTCAGGTACATGCAGTGCACACACCAATCTGGCAGTCAGAGCTGCATCTGCCTTTTCAGTTTAGCTGTGGTAATCTTGTGAGACGCTCATTACTCAAAACTTGAAATCCCTGGATTCTTCCAGCTCTGCAAGACAAAACATATACACACACACACACACACAAAAAAAAAAAAAGGAAAAAGTGAATAAAATAAGTCACAAAACAACTTAAAGATTAAAGGACTACTGTTATAGTAACCAAGACGTGATTAAGGATTTTATATTGGACTCTCATAAAGTATCTATATTACATATAGATAAAGACATTATTCAGAAACACACAATCTACAAAATTGTCCTTTTCACTTCCAAATTTCACAAAACTTTTCACAGTTGACATGCATAACTAATAAAATGTATACAGGAAGGATACATTAGGAGGGGAAAAAAATAACTTTCTTTTGGTCACAGTCCCTGGGTCAAACTCTTAAAGATTTCACAACTTTAGAGTGAGGATGGGCAAGGGAGCTGTTAGTGATAGAGCAGGCACAGAGTTAGACCCTGAGGCACACAAACAGAGTCACAGAATGGCTGAAGTTGGAAGGGACTTCTGGACATTATCCGGTCTAATCACCCTGCTCAAGCAGGGTCACCTAAGAGTCAGTTGCTCAGGACTGTATCCAGGCAGCTTCTTAATATCTCCAAAGATGAAAACTTATGAGCTCTCTGGGCAACCTGTGCCAGTGCTCAGTCATCCTCACAGTAAAGAAATGTTTCCTGATGTTCAAAGGGAACCATCAGTTTGTGCTCATTGCCTCTGGTCCTGCCACCAGACACCACCATGCAGAAGCCGTCTCTCTCATTTACTTCCCTCCCATCAAGTGTTTGTACACATTGAAAAGATCTCCCTGAGCTTTCTCTTCTCCAGGTTGAAGAGTCTCACCTCTCAGACTTTCCTCATAGAAAAGATGCTCCAAACCATGGAAGTACAGTGATAAACTTATCAGTCTCAAAGAGACCTGGAAGATTTCTCCAGCGCTTAAACTACTACTTTAAAGTAATCTAAGGTACTTCAGATTTAAATATTAGAAGTTTGCATAAATATAGATGAATTTTAAAGAATATTCAAGTCCTGTATGTCTCCATTTGAAAAAGGGGAGAAAAGTTCCTCAAAGTCAGTTTTATACAGAAGAGTGTATATAAAGTAGGATAGATCAAGAAAAAGGCTATTGAGGATATTCCAGAAGTTGTATCTTAAGTACACACATATGCACAGTTACTGGATCTACACAGTTACTGCTAAAGAGAGCCCATTTAAATTAAGATCTGCATTCATAACATTCCTCAAAGATGTATTTATATTACATACTATACTAACTTCACATTTCTTCTAACCAACTACTTATTTCAGTGTAGCACTGATGCACCAATTAGATTTTATTTAAGGGAAAAGATAAGAAAACAAATTTATAGATATAAAGGTAAAAAAGTAATTTAAAACACTATGCAGTTAGATTACTTATCAGAAACACTGAGGTTTGGTGAGTCACTGCCAGACCTTTTCAGCATTACAACTAACTGAAGTTTAAAAATAATGGCTGCTATTAATTTCTTTTTTATCATAGCATGATGAGGGTATGAGAAATATCACCTAGACTTTCCAAATTTCTGGTGCTTCTTCATTGCAGACCAAAGAAAGTTCTTATAAAGACACAAAAACTTTTAGAACACAATGGCTTGCAGGCAAACTTCTATGCTTCTCCCATAAGCAAATTTGATCCTCTGAAGGATCAGTGCCATTAGTTCCATACTCACTCATATCTTCCTTAGAGACATCTGCATTCAAGTTGACATTTTATATTAGCATCATGTGTATTATGATGCAAGCCTTTACTAATCCTACAGAGAAACAAACAAACAAAAATGTTTACTGAGAAAGCAGAGTCTCTGAAACATCAGTTGGAGCAGCACAAGGTAAGCATTAAACAGAATTGTTTGAACTGTGCAAGAACCATGACTTTACAAGTGGATTATAAAATACAGATAACTATAGGTGCGGTGGCTTTGCAAAAAGTCTGTATGCAATTTCTGTCCTTATTCACTGCATATAAAATTAACAATTATTACTATTATTCACTGCATATAATTATTGCATATATAATGCATACATATTCACTACATTAGTAGTAGTAGTACTATTCCCTGTGTATAAAATTAACAAGTTTGAGAAAAGGACTCGTGTGTATCTTGACCAATAACCTCTCACCTAAATCCCATTTACCATCACTTTCAAGATTAGACAAAACAAAGGCTTCTCCTCTTAAAAATACTCTAACTGCATAAGAAATGCTGGATAGGGAAAGATGAAAATCTAAAATAACTACAAAAGGAATAAAGTCAGTCATTATTCAAACACCTTTCTCAGTATGATACAACCTTCGAGGATATTGTACCTTCAAATCACTGAAGGTCAACACTTCTTTATGTTGTACTTATATTCAGAGACAAGAAAAAATACTTTTAAGATGGCAGTGTGAAACACTCAAAATACTTTATATTAAGACTTAACTTTATTCATTTCCCTCTCTTTCATTTCCATCCACTCTGTATTTCCTAAGAAATAATCTAATTAAAAGATTCAGATGATAGTCTTCCCTCAAGAAAATCAGTAACTTAGACTCCCCTTCTTGTGTTATTACACAGTCCCACAGTTCTGCTCCTTTCCATAGGTTCAAACCAAGCTTCTTGTCTTGTTTTAACCCCACCAAGAAACACCATGTCTTCTAACTCTACTTTAAAGCATGTGTGAGAGCAGAGGATAAAAAGCATTATAGAATTATTGGTGTTACTTGTACAATCTTACCACTAGTGCAAATTCAGTTTGGGTTCCCCATAATAAAAAGAACTTGGCCTTCCAGAGGCAACTCAACACCGAAACTAAATTTTTAACTGCAAATTTTTATAACCAAACTTTATGCATCTTTCCTTTCAGAGCAGTAGAAGGGCTAATCACAAAAGCACAATGTTTTCTGATTTTTCTGGTAATTTTTTTCTAACACTATTTGGACCCTAAATATCAACGAATTGCAGTTACCTACCTTTACCCTCACTTAAAGGGTAGCTGAAAATATCTTTGCTCTGGATTTTCCCTTCAATAAAGGGAGATGATATTTGAACTCATCCTCTAATACTGTTTTAAGTCTATGCCCAGTGATATAAAACATTTTCAAGTACAGACACCTAATGAGACAAAAACATATTAGACCTGTGGCACAGGAAAGTAGGATCCACAAGTATATTATGCTTTGAAAGCATAGTTCTTCTCCAATGCAAAACCCAACAGCAAGTTATGTTTCTGCAGTAGAGAAAATTTAGGTATTAATTTTAAAAAAACAGCTCATAAACAGTAGCTTTCATACTGTAATGTCAATATTTAACTCATCATTTTTATCTCTTAACTGTTTCCATTAAGTTATATAAAGTGTGTTAAGCCACAGTTGGACAACCAGAAAAATATTTGCTTGTTCGCATGCATCTTTCATTGGAGTGTCTCTTTTGTTGACAGAAAGAAGTCATGCACAGCCAAATGTACCGATACTTCAGCGAGCTCATCAGCATTTTATGTTTATTCAAAATAAATATGTTTTGAATAGCTCGAGTTTCAACAGTTCAAGGCTCCAGAGCAGAGTATCTGAAGGTAAGGATAAAAGGGGCCTGGGAAGGGAAGGAAAACAAAGAAGGAAAATTGAAGTAAGTACACACTATTTCTAACTTATTATCTTAAAAAAAAAAAAAAAAAAAGGACTCACAGTCTGCTTTTGGAAGATTCCGACTGCCCAAACATCTTAAGGAAAGAAATATAAGCTGAAGAGTCTTTGAAAAGATTTCAGGACTTTTCAGCATAATCAGATTTCCTTCCTGTCAAACCTGCACAAGGTCAAAGGAAACTTTGTAGTTTTCCCTCCCTTTACAGTCTAAGAAGGAAAAAATGTACACCAGTATCCATGAAGACAGAAGAAGTTTTAAAAGTGCCAGTCACAACTGGTTCGGCACAAGCCGACAGCAGATGATTCCACCAGCTATCAAATGGTGACTGTGGAAGTAACCATCAAGGTTACTACTGAAAACTACATTACAAAATTGGCATATTAAGTAATATAGTTACTATATTACAAGGCTAAATACTATAGATCTAGAAGCCAGTAAAATGATACAATTTGTCGTTTATTTAGTCCAACTAATAAAGTAACATAAATTATTAAATAATCCTATCCATAAGGAAAAAAAATACTTAACAAAACTAAATATTTGATTACTAAAAAGCCTGACGATAACTGGTTTGGAGGTAAAAGATTTTTTTTCCATTAAAAATGGGCTAATTCTGTAGGGAGAAAATGTAATTTTGACCTGAATAGGTACCGTTTTTCCTCTTCTTTCACTCATATCTTCTGTTTGGTTTATTCACCTTCCATTATAGCATAAGTCATTGACATTAACATATTTCTTGCATATTACAGAGCAATATAAAATTAATTTGGAGGATGTGATTGTAAATAAATACCAATAGGCTAAATAATGGATGTAAAAATGTTCTTTACTCCAAGAAAAATGAGGAAAGAGTGGAGAGGAAAAAGAAGTTAGAAGATGCTTGATTTTGGTTCTGTTTGTTCTTAAATGTTTTTTTCTCCACAATATTCATCCTTGTGTAATTCTAGAAGCTCTTTCCCTACTTGGGGACAGCTGCATGGCCAGGGCAAGACAGTCAGTCCTGTTAATCAGAGATGTAAAAAGATCTGTAACAGCAGCATAGCTGCCCAGAAACAAATATGTAGCAAAGGTGTAATGCCAGGCACTGTGATGTTAACTGCCAGCCCATTAATACAGACACTGTAATGTTAGTTATGTGCACCTATTTATCATTAAGCAAATAAAACTGACAAAAATTATTTGTTGGCATATTGAGAGAAGTGAAGCTTGTATTAGTGGCTGTTCAGCAGACATTTATGGTGAGTATTGACAAAATTTATCTCATTGCAATATTCTGACAAACTTAAAACCATCTCCTCCCCAAATTACACTCTCCGCAAAGTGAAAATAAAAAAGAGTAGTAGCTGATCGGCATTTCTGATGTGCTGAATGACCCTCCTGGGTCCTTGGAATAGCAGAGAAGGCAATATATGTACATTGCATATGTTTTTTAAAGTGCAAGATCTTTTTTATGTATAGTTCTTCTATGAAAAATAAAGGAAATATTTGTATGATTTCTAGAATTATTATATATACTGCACTTCCAATTCTTCATGCTACACCATCAGATTAAACAGTAGTTTAATTAAAAAGTGGTTAGAAGTAATATCCAATAAACAAATTTTAAAATGCCTTCAGGAAAATGTTTTTCAAGAAAAACACCAAAGGTCTTTAAGTAAGCTGTTAGAAGCCATTAATTGTGAGCTGCCAAATTTATACACATTCTCCAAAAGGCAGAGGCCTGAAGACATGAAATACAGCAGATTGTTAAAAACCCTACCTATGGAAGAAGTCAGGTAAATAGTTCTGCTGTTCACAGGGAAAAGAAGCTAGAAAGAATAAAACAGATTCTGTCTCATACCTAAGGATATTTGAGATACCAGAACCTGCCAAAACATGCAAGAGAGAACACCCAATTTGTTGTTGTTGTGTTTTGGTTTGGTTTTGAAACCCTTTCTTTAACAACTATATACTTGTGATGAATAAATAATATTTCCACTTGCAGAAGAACTGATGCAAGTCCCTTTAGTCAGTTACTGGTCAAACAAGCTCATGGGAAATTTCTGAGTCAAATAATACTAGATCTGTTATGCTTATATGGCAGGGAAGCAAACCAGAAAAATAACTGAAGGCTAAACTTCACAATACAAAGCTTTCAGCTTTGTCAGTAAGACAAGCAGAAGGTATCTCTGCTCCCATAGCTCTGATCATTTCTTTCTTGACCCCCCAGCACAGCACACTGTGCCCCTCACTTAAGCCAGAATGATCACTCAAGGGGCTACAGTCTGAAACACATCAGAGAAATGATCCAAATAAAAATTTTAGAAATGAAGATTCATAACAGTTTAACCAATATATATCTGGTTTGCCAGATCCAGCCACGCTCTTGTGACAAACCATACCCTCCAGCCTCTCCTAACACAAGGCACCGGCACTCTTTCAATTGTGCAGTTCAGGAAGCTCATCTTGCCAAAAAACTTACCCTCTAAAAACAGCAACTGATTTTAAGAGAGCTTCCCTTAGTGAATTCACTATGCATATGCAACAACACTATTGCCAATGCAAGGAAGGGGTTGGGAGGTGTGGCAGGAGACTCCAATCAGTTTGAACTGTGCCCAAAACCTTTTGCTCTCAATGCCTGACACAGCTCCAGTGCTGTCCCACATTCAGCTCTACTGGCAAATTGGAAAAAGTGGAGCTGTACAACACAAATGAGAAACAGAAGAGACAAGTACTTGCAACTAGTATTGTCACCTGAAGGCTACTGATGACAAAGTTTGGGTACAGAATATTTCTGGGCTGAGGGATTTGTCCTCAGAAGAGAGAGAAGCAAAGTTTTTTCCTTGAGAATGAATTTGAGATGGCTACCAAAACGTCCTAGGGCCAAAGCTACCCAAAACCCATGAAAATATGCCTCATTTTCCAATGAACTGAAGTGAGCAGAAATACTTCAGACAGATTCTGAAAGGACTATTTCAGAAAATAAAATATACAATTATCATATACTAGCCTTTTAAACAAATTAGAGATTCACACCACTGAAACACATTCAAAAACTTTAGAGATTCAAAGAAATGAGAAGTGAGACCAAGAAATTCCTTTAAGTGTCAATCTTCTCCCTCAAGACAGGCTGCAATTCTCATAGCACAGAG